GTGTTCGGTAGAAATGCTGATGCATTTGCATTTTCCGCCAAACACCGCTGCATTGCGGTTAGGCTTTTGAGCCAAAGACTTTGGTTGAGGACCCTAATCGTCCCTCTGTCTAGATGTGGGCGCCCCGGGAGTATCCCAGCCCTCGTACAATACGGCAGTGAAGCATCGGTGTTGAACACTGATGTCATGCTGTCGATGATGATGATGACCGTTACCAGCAGACAGGGGACTTTCGCATGGCGGCAAGCGAAATCCTAGAAGAAGCTGAAAAAGCCAAAATTTGGGGAACCCCACCGCAACTGAGAGACGCAGTCTTACCAGCAGACTTACCACCAGATCTTATAGAAAATCTGGTGCTCGACAGAATGGCCGTCTATCCAGGCGTGAGAAGTCTTGACACGTGATGCATCCACTTCACAAAATAGTGCAAAAATGCTAACTGCATTTTCTTTACACGAACCGGACACAGCTCAGTGGTTGCGGCGCAAACTTAGTGACCGTATGGTCCGTGGTTCGAACCCCACCTAGGCGTCTCGACAGCTCTTGTCCAGCCATTGGCAACTTGGTAGTATCTCAACCTTCGTGCTTTCTGATACGACAGCTAGATAATGAAAAGTTGTTACAGTTGAACGACGATTAGTATTACGACTACAAACCGTATGGCCGACGGTTTAATTTTTTTTCTACCCGTCGTACAAGAAATAGCTCCGCCGAGGGGACATCCATGCCCCCCTCCATTAGGTGTTTCCTCGGTGGACGATCGCTGTGTAGGTTGGACTTTGGTGCAATATACGAGTAGCGATTTCCCAAACGAAAAAAAAACTAAAAAGATCCACCTCATAATGAATGATAAGTAACAGTGAAGAGGCCATGTGCTATCACATATCAGACTATAGGCCAGAGTTTATCTCACATTGGAAAAATGGATCGGATTACACAAACAGCACAGTTGTGACGAGCGGACTAGTGGAACTTGCGATGACGAGTTTTCCGTCGCGGCAGCTGAGCTGAGGATGCGAATAAGAAGGGCTGAGGAACACCTTCAATAGCCTGATTCAGTGAAAACTATTCGTACTTGCGGAAACTAGCCACTTTATGGTTTGAGGCAGGTCAGATACACAGGCACAGATCGTTCAGCTGTAGCACCCTTTCGGTGTCTAACTGCCACGCCACCAGAAGCAAGTACGAGGGCTGGAATACTGCCGGGTCGCCCAAGCCTAGACAGAGGGAGTCGAGAGGCAGAGGTCGGGTTCGAACCGCGGACTTTCCGGTCAGTAAATTCGCGCTCTAACCACTGAGCCATTTCGCTCACACAAGATAACACTGATACTGATGGTTCATTGCATCATACAGTCTAATCATATTCGAGGCCTTGAAGTGAAAAGCGAGATGGAACTGGATGAGAAATGGAACCTGTTGCTGGTCCATCATACGCGTTCTGGGGTGCCTACACTTCCAAACGCTCAATCAAACCATCTGAAAAGAAACTAACGACATAAACGTCACTAGTTTTGTCGCCACTTCCTGTAGTGTCTCTAGCCCCGCAGGTCACGAGGAACCGGCCCTGGTAGGCGTACTGCACCAACTACACCTAAACCCTTCGTAATCACTTTCAGAACCTTATGCTAAATCACACGTTGACAATAAACTCGCGACATTTTGAGGGAGGCCCGAAGAACAACACTCGTCTCGGTAGACGATGTTTTGTCATGCATAGCACATGACTGAGTCATCGTAGTTGACGGTGTACAATGCTTTCTGAGACTGAAGCTTCTGCTGCACAATCAAATGCCCGTTTTCTAATCACCTCGCTAAGAGTTCGTTGATGCTTCTAAGACATCGGTGGCCGAAAACCTGGTATGCAGAAGGCCGGGTGTGAATGACCATAAGTGGTCACCTGTCTGACCAATCAAAAACAAGGCAGAAAATAAATGAAAGTGTCAGTTGGCCTGAAGGCGTTTCTTATTAACTGCCCTCTAGACTTCGTAATATAATCACGTTTCTCTGAGTTAGGATTTAACCGACAGTACACCAGGCTTTTGATTTGTTTTATTCTGATCTACCGCACTTCACGACAATTTAAAGAAAAAACAACCACTTACCGGTCCAACAACTTTTTGAGTGCATCGTCTGACAATTCATCCAAATTTGACACTTCCGCATGATAGTCCCTTTTAGACAACAACCGTAAGAGTTCCGTCTTGGATAAGTTTGCGTCGACTGAATGCGAGTTGCGATGAGAATTCCGCGGTCCTCCGCGGAGCCATCCATGTTTGAGGTGATCGGGCAAAGGCTGTGGCAGAATACGAAAGCGTTCTGATCATCCACTGAGTCTAAGCAAGTAGAGAACCTAAGAAGGTATATATCTGTTCTCCCCTGGAGGAGTCACCTCTCAAAAGAGACCACGCTGTTTAGGTCCCCTACAGATGAGTTAACAGTGGAGTTATCATTACCTAGCAAACTGAAATAGTTGAGACATCACATGAGTATTAAATGTGCCTTTGTAATGGACTTTCGAAAAGCATGTGTCGAGTTTCCACAGGAAATTGGCATGCCAACGCGCGCGTCGTGTCATAGTGGAGCGACAGACAACTAATCACTCAGCGCCTCCGACAAAAGCAGTGCTCAAATGCGATTAAGGTTTTGATAAAACAGAAGTGTCATACGTGCTAGATAATTGTGACATTGAAGGACTTTTAAAGGCTCCAAATCTTACCTTATTTCCGGTACCGAAAGACAGCTTCGTTCGATTCGTTCCGAAGGAACCTCCAGCCAAAACAAGCCGTTCTAAACCCCGTTTGGCATGGGCTCTCTCAAGGATTGTTTCATCGATCGTATCCGCCGTGACCAGACGGATAACTAACACGGGCTTGGTTTGTCCAATGCGATGGCAGCTAGCATGATAAGAAAAAGAAGAGTAGTAACTGACGTGGCAAACGGAACAACATTGCCAGAGAACATTAGGAAATGGGGAATCGGAGGGAACTGAAAGTTTGGCATATAACTCAAGCTACTTAGCACCCGACAGTAGTATGTAACAACATAGAACTTGGTAACCGAACGAACAAGCTACCGGTCTTGTGCCTGCAGGTCTGTCTGTGGGTTCCAGTCGGAATCGAAAATAATAACGGTGTCGGCAGCTGCCTGTAGATTTAACCCACAGCCACCAGCACGCGCAGAGACAAGGAACACAGGCAACATTTCAACTGGTTCATAGTTAAAGCGTCTTATTGCTGCCTGGCGATCAGCGAACTTGGTGGCTCCATCGAGTCGTACGAACGGCCAGTTTCTGGCCTCGAGTAATTCTTCTAGCACGTCGAGAACAATAGTAAGCTGAGAGAATATAAGGACCTGGAACGGAAACGGAGAGGAAAGAAACACAACAAAATGTTGAGTCAAGGGGGGCAAGACAATCGGGGAGATAAGACCGACCACTATTGTATACTGCTTTCACGGTATATACCCATGAATACACCCGATGTAATGTAAGTCTAAGGCGTGCTGAATGCACCGTATTGCCTATGGTTTGCAATATCACTCATTTAGCTGTAACGCCCTTTCGGTGCTCAGCTGTCGTGCCACCCGAAGGAGGCACGAGGGCCGAGATACTACTAAGTCTAGACAGGACGAGTCGAGATGCCGAGGGTAGGTTCGAACCGTTCACCTTCTGGTCCGTAAGTTGGCGCCTTACCAACCGAGCTATCTGGGGCAATATGGTATCGCATGAAGCACTGCAGGCAGAGGTCCTGTTGGGTTCGAGTAGTGAACACTATCGACTAGAGACTGTCCAGACAAATAACTTAGGGAAGCAGAGAATATTCCACAGGAACACGGGGAGCAGAAAAACGTCACCTGGGTGATCACAATGCTATAATCAAAAGGAGGAAAGGTGAGAAGAGTGGTTGTGAAAAAGGGAACAACTGCATTTCAAAAAGTCAGAATACCTTATGATTACTTCCGATCAGTTGCTTTAAAAGTCGATCCAAAACACGGGTTTTTTCACTTGCATCAATCAGAGCCATTTGCTCGGTAGATGGAGTTGACCCAGCAGGACAAGTGTCGCCTGCAACGTCCGGTCGGTCGATGGCCAGGTATGGATGGTTGACAATTCGGCGCAATAACATCAAACCATTAGTCAGACTGACGCGCGGCGAAATGAGGAAATCGTAAGAAGTCGGCCGTGAAGGGAGAGCTGAAGTATCCACTGAAGGTTCCACAACCTCTGACGTGTCGTTCATCTTAAGCGGGGATGACTTTCGAGCCCGACACTGGTCCTGAACTTGGATACGACTGCAAACAAAGAATATCGGGGTCAAGTTCCTCACCAACATTGAAGATAGGATCATAGCATAATAGTTAAACAAACTACAAGAACCAAACTGGACTGAGGCAGAATGACCGGCGTAAGGGACCCTTTTAGACTGGGAAACAGAGTTGTTTACCTCACGCTCGGAATGTACTGGCCGATTTCTGGCTGACACGCCAACGAACAAAGTCGTGAATATGTGGGCAGCGATCTCTCACACCCCCGCGATACTCTAACAGGTCGGTCACAGACGATAAAGGACTGTACTGGGTGCTGGAAATATGAGCTTATCAGAATACTTGTGATAGCCTAACAAAACGACCCATCCAAAGTGTTTGTACTCTTTTCACCACTGAGTGTGCACGATTTTGCTGCGGCAAGGTTCCGGTGGCCTAGTTGAGGATGAGCAAAATCCTGTGGTAGCTCACTTCATAAAGTCCATTTTTCAAAGTGCATTACTCTTGCACAGTGTGTTGGATGAACCGAGAACATTCGATTAGTGGTGAAATTCATCAATTGGTTCATTACCAGCATCAGTTAATCAGTTATGAACCGTGAACTAACAAGATTGTCCAGCTGTAGCACCCTTTCGGTGCCTAGCTGCCATGCCACACGAAGGAGGCACGAGGGCTCGGATACTGCCACGTCGCCCAAGCCCAGACAGAGGAAGTCGAGAGGCGGAAGTCGGATTCGAACCACAGACCTTTCGGTTAGTAAATTCGCGCTCTAACCACTTGGGCCATCTCGCCTCCACAGCCATAGGAGACACTCAAGGTACCAAGGGTACGTTGGTTCCGGACGTTGTAAATTCGCCTCTAACCACTTGGGCCATCTCGCCTCCACAGCCATAGGAGACACTCAAGGTACCAAGGGTACGTTGGTTCCGGACGTTACAGTTTCGTTCACGGTAGAAGTGAACACCAGGGAAGATTTAGTCGGGGAGTTGGTGCGAAGGCCTGATTCCGTTACAGTAGCAGCCTAGGAAGCTTAGTAGTGAATGCGATAGCTTTGATGTAGAAGAGCTACTTAGTGCGCGATTGAAGCACGTCTGTCATCAACTACTGACGAGCCAGAATTATTTCGGTCAAGTAAGATTTGAACTTGAAACGGCACGCCTCTCTATGGGATTTAAACCGAGAATAATATCGTCTACTTACTCACTACATGTGAGCTAAAGCTCCGGGAACCCTGCAGGCTTCAGAGGAAGGTAGAGGAGCTTCAAGCAGCACGTCAATAACAATGATGTAAAGGAACGGCGAGAGAGCACAGAATTGTCTCGCTAAGGGACATGTTGAGACTGGACGAAAGCTTAGCTTCTGCCTGTGCCCACCCACAGGATTTACCGTGTATGGCCTCAGGAAAGACATTGAAGATGGATAACGTCAGCGTTTCTGATAATCGATGGATTCGAAGGTAGCTTCCAGATCAGGAAAAACTATCGTGGGATGCTTGAAAAGATGGTGGTCGATAAATCCTCAGCCAGGACGAAACCCAGTTCAATCCTTACGTACTCGTTTCCCCCGGTAGTCGGCCAGAGAGCGCCTTGGATGCTCCGGCTGCCAGACTGATGCCCTGATGGTCTTCGCATGTTCTTGCGCCCTACTCCAAAATAGCGCCTTGGATGCTCGGCTGCCAGACTGATGCCCTGATGGTCTTCGCATGTTCTTGCGCCCTACTCCAAAATAAGGATCAACAATGAAGCACTATGTCATTCCTTCTGCACTCTGTTTTTCCTTTCAGAGAGATTGTGGTAAGGTTGTCAAACTGCTCAGAAGAACTTCAACACCATTCGGACCGATAGTCCTCTGCAGTCGAAAGAACGATATCTTCCGTTGGATTGCGGTTGTTGATGCGGTTGACTGATGACAACGTTCCATTCAGGGTCGTTGGTTTTCTCGGGGCTTGTACGTGAAAAAAAACCAACCGAACCGTTTTTTCAAGTGTTCAGTCTTTCACAAAACATGACGATTCGGTGGATGATTGCTGCTCCGTCTCTCGGTAAGTCATTTCTCCGGCACCCGCCTTCTTTTGGTTGGTAGATAAAATCAGCTACAAAGGGGTAGCTGTTTTCTGTAGCAGAATTCATTTCCACATCACGGTCTCTATCAATCTCCCAGCACTCTCTGTCCCCTGACTCTTCAGCGTTTGAGGGATCACCGTGAGCTGTCGTGGTGGTTGTTGGCTGGTATGCATTTTCTGATCTTCACGATATGCGGAGTTTATTTATTCGTGTCATATGATTTGAGCGACAGTCCGAGAGAGACGGAAAGCATGACTCTCTTCCCACCATTCCATTCGCCTTTCGAATGATCTTCATTATCGGCGTGGCTGTGCGTTTCCATCAACTCTCCAGGCAGCCGGCTCGATGCCGCTTAGCTACGGCAACCTGTGGGAGTAAATGATTATGAATCCACCCGCATGATCCTGATGGAAAACGAATTGACAAGTGACGTCGCGAAAGACACGATCAGAATCAAGTTGGAACTCTCGATCGATAACTGGTAGTCACATGATCCAACTGAGCCCATGACTAGTTTGCATTCGACGGCCTCCAACCATCAGGGCCCGGTGCGCTCGTGCTGAATAACCGTACTGGCTAGAAACGGACGATCTTTGGCACACAACTGAGAAATCGCTTTTCTGGTGGAACAAGTAGCATATACACTGCCTTTGTGTGCATCAAAATGAATTTGAAAACCAAATTTATTAAAGCGGGTCACAGATTTAGGCGAAGAAACAGAGTGAATCCGAAGCTGGAAAGAACAGACTCGATACCATTTTAACAATCACACCGCACTTCCTGGAACAATCTCCTTGAAAAAAAAACACAATCGTTCAGCTGTAACACCCTTTCGGGGCCATGCCACCCGAAGGAAGCACGAGGGCTCGGATACTGCCAGATTGACCATGCCTAGACAGGGGAAGTCGAGAGGTCGGGTTCGAACCACGAACCTTCCGGTCAGTAAATTCGCGCTCTAACCACTGAGCCATCTCATCCCCTCCCCTCTCTTTGGATTGAATGTGTAAAACATTGATGAGGCGCAACTAATCAAAGTTGTTTTCACCCGATTTGGAAAGGTGAGGAAATGACATTTCGCGATTCGTGACAAACTTTTCGCGTTGAACTGATATCCAAAACGAGACAGGAACTGGGACCGAGAAACTGTCAAGGGCGATCAGAAAGTCCGGCACGAGACCACACCGCGTATGGGCTGGGTCGTGTCTCAATTCCAAATCCTTCACGAGTTCTTCTTCAAGTGTTTTTTCAATAACTCATTACTTCAGCATGTCAACATAACATTAGTGCCAAGAAAAAAAAACAACAACCTGGAGAAGAAACGGAGCTTACTTGGCTTGCCGAGTCAATCTTTTGTTATTTTTGTTGGAGCCATGTCTCTTATCCGGTATGATATTCGCTTGATCCAACCACGTTAGACTACCATGACCACTGGGCTGCGAAGCAAAGGACTTTGCTTTGGATGGATGCCTGGCGAGTTGATTGGTCTGGCTTTCTAGACAGAGTTGCAAAGCCTGGTTGTACAATTCCTGCATACGTCCAGCGGCAGGGAGAGAGTGAGGAAGAAGAGAAAAAGGTTAAAAATGGTTTCCTGACAATCAATCTGTCAGATTCCAACAATCCTAGCATCCGGTATTGAGGGTAAGAAAACGGAGGGAAAAGGTTCAGCTGTAGCACCCTTTCGGTGCAAGGCTGCCGTGCCGCCCGAAGCAAGCACGTGGGCTGGGATACCGCCAGGTTGCCCAAGCCTAGACAGGGGAAGTCGAGAGGCAGAGGTCGGGTTGGAACCACGGACATTCGGTGGCGAATTTGCGCTCTCGCCTCAAGAGAAGGGAAAACCGAAGGCGGAAACTAAATATTAAAAAAACGTACCTTTTGCAGAGGAGTCATACCGACTCGGAGCAGAATTTCTCTTTTCGGAGGTAACAACAGATTGGTTTCCGCCTTGGTTCGTCGTAGCATGAACGGACTGATGATGCAATGAAGCCTGGTGATTAGTGATCGTTCCATTTCGGCCGTTACCAGACGATCACGACCCGCATGATCGCTCAGTACCACCGGGTCAAACCAATGCTAATGAAGAAGGAGGGAGAGAGTGACCGGCTGATTAATCGTACATCTATGACCTACACTATCAAGGGCTAATTCTAGATAGTACTAGTGGTGATATGACAGGTTCACTTTAGACACAATGTGAAACACCTGTTCGGCGCCACAGCAACAAGCATTGTCTTCATCGTCCACTCCCCATTTAGTGGGACAGGAGGACCCAACTGGAGCCAATCAGACAGTGAACGTCCATGCTCTTTTTCTGACCTCCGGGTGCTTTTTAAATCAACTGGTGATCTTGAAAGAAGAGTGTGCTAAGGAGGACGATGAACGGGTGCTCAGAGGTCGTGTTTTGGTCACCTGAGCTGTGAAATACGCTCAAGTTGTTAAATCTTCCGAACCTCTCCAGGCCAGCGAAGCGTCTGCGGACGCCATTGCTCCTTACGTGGTTAGTTCACCAGAAGTGTGCGACATTACGGATGCATCGGTGATCGAAGACGCAAAAGAGTTGAATACCACCCTTTATTGCCGTAATGGAAAACTGAACGTACAGAGGCGATTTATGTGTCCCGTGAGTTAGAGGCAGAAATTTTGTAGTGAATTCAGGGGGATATTAGCCGCATAATCAAAGTCCTGAGGCCTATCACCTGGCATCAGGTCGGTGAACTGCCACCTATCAAGACGTCGCTAGTGGTAAAAATGAACAGGAAAGATTATAGTGGAGATGCTGAGAGTGGTGGTTGGACTCAGACTGTAACCGAATAGTGTATGTGTGGTGACCTGATAATGGTATTTTGCACGCACATCAAACTAACTCGAAGATGCCCTGACAATGTTTGGATGGCGGTAAAGGCAACGTTTATCCGGAACACGGATTACCCTACTCGACTGATCAGTTCTCTGCTCTTCATGGAAGCCCAGGGACAAACCATTAGGTTCGTGAGAGGGCTATTGTGTTTAGAATGTTGGAATTAGTTGACCGAAGTTTCCCATTAAACGTTCCATTCATCCGCCCAGTTATGGCCGTTGTGATACTGTAAGCCAGAGTGTAGTATGAATCAAGAAACTCCACGTAGCAGGATAGATTCAGTGCCTGATGGTACCAACAACCATGGTACAAGTTAAGTGGATTGATTCAGCGTTTAGAAGTAATCTCGCGTTGAGAAAAGGCAAAACTGCCTCGTAACCTAAGACTCCAGTATTTCAAGGATGGGATAGCACAGATCTGTTGGTTACAGTCTACATTCTAGGCACACGGAGTCAGGATCAAAGTGTTCCAGTATGATCAGCAGTTTTCAACGCAAAATCACCGACAACAATTTTATGCAAAGTGGTAAAGCTCCCTCGATATGACACGCTTCTAGCCGCAAACCGAACGCACTTTTGAAACCTAATCTGCCCCTGTCGGGGTCTAAACAGCGTCCCCCTGCCTCAACTCCTGCACTCGGCGAATAAAACGAAGGGGGCTAAAAATGAGGACACCCTAGTGCATGGTTCTTTGCTGAACAACTCACTAGCAGCTGTGCGTTAGACGACTAAGCAGATCTCATGGGTCTGAAGGGCGGTAAATCCCTAATGAGACAGCGGTAGAACGGATTTCAGTAGTCTATACCTAATTAAGTAGTTGTTCCACCACAACTCCAATCGCGTTGAAACATGCGCTGGAATACGGAGGTAAAGGTCCTTCGAATGTCAGTGAGCTGGTTCAATTCAATCACCAAGTCGGTTTTTCGGTGCCTGGTATGGACTACTTTTTTTTCTTTTCTGGTCCCAGGACAGGTTCAACAGTACTGTTCCCGGTCACCTAATGAGACCGTATTCAGGTGTTGACAGGGATGATTGGTGGGTAGGTTAACGAGAGAACTCATACACTCCAGGCCATCGAAAACTCGTCCAGGCCGCTGATCTAACACTCAGCGCTTCCACGTGCCCCAGGATGCATGGTTGACCACATCGACGGACTTCTAAAGCCAGGTACCGCACAATAACACGTGAAGACATCGAAATACGAGGTCAAACCAAAGGGTGAAAAGAACGGGGTGATTCTGAACCATCAATAGGCCCAACTAGCAGCCCAGATCTTCTTTTAATTTGGTCGCGAGCTGGTGAACCACACTGAAGATGCATTCATACGACTAGTCGTGCTTTCGCTTCCCTAAGACGATAGCTTTAGTGAACTGTTAATATAGAATTTGGGGGAGGAATTCGACGGTTTCTAACAGACAGACAGACAGACAGACAGACAGACAGACAGACAGACAGACAGACAGACAGACAGACAGACAGACAGACAGACAGACAGACAGACAGACAGACAGACAGACAGACAGACAGACAGACAGACAGACAGACAGACAGACAGACAGACAGACAGACAGACAGACAGACAGACAGACAGACAGACAGACAGACAGACAGACAGACAGACAGACAGACAGACAGACAGACAGACAGACAGACAGACAGACAGACAGACAGACAGACAGACAGACAGACAGACAGACAGACAGACAGACAGACAGACAGACAGACAGACAGACAGACAGACAGACAGACAGACAGACAGACAGACAGACAGACAGACAGACAGACAGACAGACAGACAGACAGACAGACAGACAGACAGACAGACAGACAGACAGACAGACAGACAGACAGACAGACAGACAGACAGACAGACAGACAGACAGACAGACAGACAGACAGACAGACAGACAGACAGACAGACAGACAGACAGACAGACAGACAGACAGACAGACAGACAGACAGACAGACAGACAGACAGACAGACAGACAGACAGACAGACAGACAGACGACAGACAGACAGACACAGACAGCTATCAAGCCTTTGGTTTGCAGTTCTTTTTATCGGTTCGCATGACATCTAGTTCCCAGTTGTCCGAATCCATATGTGCTTACCCACACGGCGGACATATCAGCAGTTTGGAAAACAACAACAGTGGCAGATACTTACCTCAAACATCTCCAAAGAGGTGAAGATCTCCGGCAGTATGAAATGCAACAAGGACCAGAGTTCCGAAATTCGATTTTGCAATGGAGTCCCCGTGACGAGAATACGGAGGCTGGTGGAAAATTTGGCCAGTCTTCGGTACAGTCTGCTTGCAGGATTTTTCAAGCGTTGACCCTCGTCAACGACCAGGCCCTAAAAGTGACAAGCCAAAATAACGTAGAGCATCGGCAGTGGAGGTAACTGGCTTATAAAAATTCACTAACAGCTCATACCATCTAAGCGGCTGGTGACAAAGTGGCAACTGATCCGTTCCGAGGTTGGTAACTGGGTGGCAAACGTTTCGTCACCATACGGGGAACGGCGATGATTTTTTTCGACTGGTGGCGAAACGTTTATGATCCAGCTTTTGATCGAGACGTCATCCTGTAATTGAGCCTGGTTTATACCGAAAAGCCGAGGAGCATCGTACAGTTGTTTCGCCCTTGCTACGAATCACCTGTAGTGCGCTTCTGTGGGGAGACTCGAAAACGCGGCCTCCGGAATGGTAGCTGAAGACGAGGCCGTCTGGCCGAGAGTGCCTGATTAAATTACAAGCCAAATGCTGAGCTAGGTGGATAGATCAGCTGCCACCTTAGCATTGACAAATTGACTCAACCAAACTACTCACGTGAAGGGGGCGAGATGGCCCAAGTGGTTAGAGCGCGAATTTAGTGACCGGAAGGTCCATGGTCCGAACCCGACCAGCTCTGCCTCTTGACTTCCCCTGTCTATGCTTGGGCAGCCTGGCAGTGTCCCAGCCCTCGTGCTTCTTTCGGGTGGCATGGTAGATAGGCACCGAAGTAGTGCTACAGCTGAACGATTTTTCTTACCCACGTGAAGTCCATGAGAACCAATTTGCGCGTGGTAAATGAATCAAAGCGGTAGGCTACATGGTAAGGGGTACTCACGGGAGAAGGTGAAATACCCCTATATACGTTAGGGACTTAAGGCACTCCAGTACTGACAAGCTTGTTTCCAATCTGCTTGACCTGCTGAAGCGCAATGGTCCGAAAAACGGATCTACAGTCGTTCAGCTGTAACACTTTTTCGGTGCCTAGCTACCATGCCATCCGAAGGAAGCACGAGGGCTGGGACACTGCAAGGTTGCTCAAGCCTAGACACGGGAAGTCGAGAGGCAGAGGTCGGGTTCGAAGCACGGACCTTCCGGTCAGTAGATTCGCGCTCTAACCACTTGAGTCATCTCGGCCCCATTTCGCCTTAAAACATCCAAACGTGGTCTTTTCAGGGAGGATGTCTCTGCAGAGGGAATTGTTATAGTACAAAGGATGAAGATTGAGTTAGCGATCAAGAAGTACGATCCAGAGCCCGAAGAAAACGGAAAAAATTGTTCGAAACGGCACAGCCGCTAGGATTAGCCATTGCCTATCACTGCAGTTCAACCATTGGTGCTGTTATTCACAGAATCAAGAAACACGCCTGCAACAATCGATAACGCTAATTGATACATTTTGTCACACATCATTGTGACCCGGTTTCTCACTATGACGAGAAAGCCTCCAGCAAACTGGATCGAACAGTCGGCCGAAGTATAGGTTTAATCGTTCGTAAAAGTACATACCATCTGGCGCAGTAGGACGGCAGAAAACCAGTCTATTTACATCTCTTACCCTGCACAGCAGAACTGAGAAGAAATACCGGATTTAGCGGACGCATTTGCCAGACATACAATGCTACGATATGCACCCCATCGACGGGGAAATTCACATTATCTAGGATGATCAAGGTGCTAGCGACCAGGCAACTAATCGGTTTAACTTTCTACGGTACCGACATTTTCCGTGTGCGATTTTGGACGAATAAATTAGGCTACGACGGTAACTTCTCCCGATCCATCGATGATAACCAGGTGTAGTGAGATTCAGCTTCGAGCAATCGGTAAATGGAGGCTGTTAGATATCGCATGGGGCGCAGTGCTTCACATACACACTTCAAACTCACTTTAAAAGGGACCTTCTGTAAATACTTCGCGTCTCGAATCGCCACCTCGTAAGAGGTTAACACAATCGGGTATGCCCAGAAGACGTCGTCCACTCTCCTCCTGGATGTGGCTGAAGTCGAACAGACTGTACTTGCAGAGTCATTACAATACGGTGATTTCAGTTCATTGGACAGACTGTCTTCGGTTAGTTTCGAGGTAGGGTAATCTGAGGGCGTCAACACTACGGGTTCCGTGAAACCCTCTGGCTTTATAGTGCTCTCTGTAAGTAAAGGAGACAACTGTGGTGCCCCAACTATCGGTTGCTTCTGCTCGCAAGAGGCAAGAACTTCGGTGATGACCTCATCCAAGTGAGCCAGTGCAATCGCTCTGTTATCTTGTTCAGTCTTGACTTCGTTGGGTAGATCGATATTCTCGGATAAATTCGATTCAATGTTTACAGCCCGGGCAGGACTGGCTGAAGCGGTACACATTGTACTCAATTGGTGGTGAGCTTCATTCTCGAACGAAAACGCTTGGCAACTAGTGGGTGAGTTGTTTGTGTCAAGGGGTTCTTGTCTATCAGGCTTACTATCTGTCGCCACAACAGTACCTTCAAATGAAGGGGATAAGTCATAGGTTATCGGACAGGCGGTATGAATAGTTGGAGTTTCGCTCGGTGTAGCACTTTGTGAATTCAACGCTAGGGAAGTGATGTGGTCAAAGGAAGCGGTGGATGTAACCGGGTCTTCTGTTGGTTGTGGGGATCTCGCAGAATGGTCCTCAAAAGTGGTATCCCCAGTCTTTCCGGCAGCTTCGGTTGCACTATACTCGAGCAGAACTTCGGTGATGACATTATCCAGGTTTCGAAGGGCATCGACCGATGTGTGTAACTTTCGCAAAGTGTTTACGGCAACAGTTGATATCATCTCAACGTCCGTCCCTACCGGCAATGAATCGATAAGGTGATCAGACTTCGAAGCCTCTGTGTCCATCAAGGTGCGTGCGTATTGTGGATTCCCTTTGTCCCTGCCAATCTTGTGATCGGAGGAAAGGTGAGACTCACGAGGTAAAGGACCATTTACATCAAAAACCGAATCCGTCAAGTTGGTGCTTAATGATACGATCGTGTTCCCCACAGATGCCAGAGATGATCCCTCTGACTTAGCACAGTCCACTGGATGCTGCGTTTCCGATGTAAGCCTATCAAGCGAGGAATTGGCAATCAATGAGGTAGTCTGTACGGTTACTCTTTCCGGCTCATTTTCCTGAACCTGTGACCTGGAAACGATAAGATTCATCTCCTCTGATGAACCGACCGTAGACGGTTCTACAATGTCCAGACCAGACGAACTGGAGGAAGCTGCGTTATCACACACGGAGCTGCGAGAAACCACCTCGGTGTTATCTGATGGCGGTTCCGTCGCAACGGGAGCAGCAAGCGGAATACCAGAAACAGATTCGCATTCTGAGCACTCCTCGTTGCTGCCACGTGCGGCCGCTAAGTTAACCAAACTGCGTTCTCCGTCGTGATCCTCAACTGATGTTGTTGTATCATCCAGAACCCGTTCTTTGACTTCGAACGCCCGTAGAACATTGGAAATCGTCTCATCCAGTCTGGCTATGGCCTCTGGAGCCGTCTGAAGTTCTCGTATAGGTGTTTTCAGTCGGTCCTCGGTCAGCGAAGAACTTGGAAACGAACAGACACTTTCTGTCGTCGAGCAGATGAGGCTTGTGCATCCAGATTGAACCGAGAACAATGCATCAGTCGAGGGAACGAGCGAAGAATTTAGATTTAAATCTGCAGCCATAGGCGATAACTCAGAAACATTTGAACACGTCGTCTTTTTAAGAGGAATTATTGTATCCTTGGTCTCAATCGGATCACTCAGCGATATTCGGACGCGCTTTCGAATACTCTTCCTCAGTCTTAACCGTTCCATCATGGCCCCGTAGTAGACGAGGCAAGGAATGCGCGGTGCAAAAGCAGAGAACTGATCGGCCCAGCTGGATAGTAACGACAGCGGAGTGACAATCAGATAGGGACCTGGAACTCCAGCTTCGATTAGAGACGCAAGAGCAGCGATGATCTGCAGTGTAATAATACAGAAGGGGGAAACTACTAATAAATCGAAATAAGCAACCAAAATGGAATAAACGAGGACGACTACTGTAAGAATGCGGTGACCTCTGTCCAAAAAGGAGGCTCAGTAATATAACTCAAGCATCCGAACGGAAAAACAACAAAAAGTGGACTCAAAAGTGGAAAAAATTGTTCAGTTATAGCACCCTTTCGGTGCCTAACTGTCATGCCACCCGAAGGAAGCACGAGGGCTGGGATACCACCAGGTTGCTCAAGCCTAGACGGGGGAAGTCGAGAGGCAGAGGTCGGGTTCGAACCACGGACCTTCCGGTTAGTAAATTCGCGCCCTAACCACTGAATGTATACTGTCGCAGGACAATTATGACTACTATGCACTACTCATAAAGTTGCTGGAAACTCCTCGACAGCCCACGACCGGTTGCGCCCTTCTTGGAGCTCATCAGGTAGGCACAGTTCCCGAGTTTCCGTCAACCTCACGTCCTCCTTGAGAACAAATCGCATGAAATTAGCGAAATACACACATTTGCAAACAAATTCGGCTTTCCGAGAGACTCACCTATAACCCAGCTGAATCACTCGATTTTGATGTTTCGCGTTTAATACCCAGGTTTGCGTTTCTCGTAAATCAATTTCCGACCCACATGTTGAAAGGGTAGAGTGGTAAGGCGGAAGGTTGTCGAAACAATACTGTTCCACGCCGAAAAATGTGAAATCCATGAAAAAGTGACTTTACGTGACCTTTTGGTTGACTCCTGTGAAGGCGATCGGTGGTTATTTTCCCTTTGTTCTGCCTACTCATAAGTAGTGTGATTCTTGCCTGTTCATTATAGGGCAGCTTTGCTCCCTTGGTGCTCGTTCCTTGGGTTTTTGCTCCCGCTTGAGGTCTACTTACCCCCAAGTTACTATTCTCAGATTTTGTTGACCGTCCGTCATCGCTTGGAATTTCATTTCAACTTTATCTATTTTCGAGTGTCTGCTCCAAAGGAAAGATAGGCTATCCGGCGATCTGACCCAGAAACCCCTTGGATGCTAGATGAGCGCGCTATCCGCTGCGCCAACTCAAATTTACACTGTATGACTGCCCGTGTCCGCACGTCTGTTCCTACCACCTGCTGAAAACAAACTGCGTATAGTCCGATAGCTCCAATAGTCTTGTAAGATCCCTAACCGCCGGGATCTGCTATCCATGTAGGTTGGTCCATGTATGCAATGTCCTTCTCGGTAATGGCTCCCGCTATGGCACAACCATGTTAGTGTGCATGGAGCTCGCGTGCCAAGCTATGTCCACTGTGCTGCGACTACCCCCATAGTTCGAACAAATTCCATTGGTTTATGGGCTTGTGAACCACAGCAACATGACACCTCAAGACCAGAAAGACGGACTTCACGTTGGTAGGCCACTGGTTTTGGGGAGACCACTTAGGGGTTTGACAAATTAGTGCGAAAAAATGCACAATCTTGCATCCACTAGTGACTCTTTATTTGTAAAAGCCCTATGGTGACTAGAAAGTGATTGTGGTCGTTGGCTTGTTCGCTGAGCTGCCAACATTTTCCTCTATAAAAAGTGATTTTCCATAGCTTGTTATATTCTGATTTTGTCTCGAATGGATCCCCAGTCATGTGGTAGCCTCAACTTAGAGAGCACCTAGTAGTTCACGAACGGTGGTAAAACAAAAACCGGAAGAAAAATTATACTGACGGTAACAGACTTCCCGATGCGATTTCCCAGCGGATTCTAGGATGACAGCAATCGATAAGAACGGAGTTTAAACACAATGGTAGGTGAGTCCAACTCTCTCCATAAGAATCGTGTCACAGGGGAGCCGATATGAATTGGTGGTTAAGGCACGAGCTTACTGACCGGATGGTCCATGGTTCGAACCGCTCCCGTCCATGTTTGGACGACCTGACAGTGTCTCAGCCCACGTGCTTCCTTTGGATGACACGGCAACTAGGCACCGAAAGTGCGCTACAGCTGAACGACACAGGGGAGAGTTGCTAGATGGGGTCGGATGTTAACTAGAAACATCTTTAAACCTCACCCCTGGCCCGTTCCCACATACTCCGTCTCAAGCGGTGTGATTGCATCGCGAAAACTGATGACAATTAGACTAATCGAATCAGAAGCTATGTTCAGCAACCCGAAGTACTCCACGCGTTACATTTCGCCAACTTACGAGGCAAAATGTCGCGGGTGCAACCTAGTAATCCAATGACGTTGGATCACCCAACCTCAGATTGTTGAGTAGTCACACTGACGAGTCGGATGGTGGACGCAGAGGAAACAGAGTTCCCAAATTGGGAGAGAGACTAGAAGCCCTTCGACCAATCACAGACAGACTGACGTTGACCAGACCACGGTTTAATGCAGGGAAAATATCAAATATAAGGCTGTGGGGTCAATTAGATCCAGCGCTTGGCATCTGCTAGCGACGATATATTCTCAATAGAATTATACCCCCCCCCCCCAAACCCACCCTTCAAAC